CTCGTCCTTCCGCTGGGCGCTCGGCGTCACGCGGCGCGGGCGGCGGCGGATGCCGAGGTGGGGGCAGTGGATCAGGGAGGAAAAAAACGCATAAACATACTCTTTTGGAAGTCCGCGCGGGTTTCTTGGGGATCTGAGCCGGGTGGCACCGGAGGCGCCGCCATGGAGGGGGCCCGGCGCGGATCCAAGACATCCGCGTGGAGCGCCAAAAGTTGATGCTTATATGGCTGAATGGGGCCCTGGGACACACACATAAATACACACAAATAACAGGATTCCCCTATAGATTCTTTTCTTGTCTGGGTTCTTGTCTTCCCTCCCACTTCCCATATTTTCCCACACTCTCCATGGAACCGACGATGACTTCTGTCCGTGTGTCTTCTTCCCTCCTGAGAATGGCGTTCCTTCTCGTTCCTCGCCTTCGAGAGGCGGCGGAAGCCCCCCTTCGCCCACTTGGGGGGCGGCGGCGGTGCCGGCCCCCGAGGCGGAGCAGGCCAGAGCCTGTTTTTTTTAGACTCTGGCAAGTTTACTTGCATGGACGGGGGGGGGGGGCTGAGCCTGAAGCAAGCCGCAAACGACTTGCACGTTCGGAAATCACGCAAGTCGAAAGGCACTTGCACGCTAGTATTCGCTTGAAGAGGGGCGAGGGGGGGGGGGGGGCGAACGTCATGCAAGTAAACCTGCCTGAATCCAAACAAAAACAGGCTCTTAGGGGGCGGCGGCGGTGCCGGCCCCCGAGGCGGAGCAGGCCACCGCGGCGGCGCGAGGCGGCGGCGCCGGCGGAGCGCCGCCGCCGCGCGCCCGGTGTGCACGGAGGCGGGGCGCCCTCGCCCTCGCGAGGAGCGCGCCGGGCCCGAGCGGTGCGCGGGCGCGAGGAAGCACCATGGAGGGGGTCATGTTTCGGCGTACGGAGGCTATTCCTTGTCGATGCGCCGGAACTTGGGGCACGCCAGCGCCGCGGCGATACTCCTGCACTTGGAAGCTGGTGTGACCAGGTGGGTAGGGGCAGGGGGAGGGCTTAGGCTTGAACGATGACGACGACCACCGCCCGGTAACAGCTGGCCATCGCTCGGACGTCCATTCCCTGTGCTTTTTCCGGTTTCGTGCGTGGTGTTTTCGCCAACTGAGCAAGGGTGCTCCTCGAGGGTCCTCGCCGAGAAAAAAATATGCACACGTCCGAGCGATGCCAAGTAACAGGGTGACACGGCTGCGGCTACGGCTCGGGCCTCGAGGCCTCGAGCCAACATGGCTACGGGCGGGGAGGGGGAGGTCAGGGAGGCCAGGGAGGGGATGAGCGACCACGACGGGAGTACCCGAATACGCGGAAGAGGTCGGACCTCCAGAATCCAGCTGCGCAAGACACTGTTGGCCGGTGTGGACCCCAAACGATAACTTATTACACTCTGCATGTGCAAGCCTTGTGGTGCAACCATGCGGTGTAAGCTATGTGGTGCAAGCGATGCGGTGTAAGCTATGCGGTGCAAACTATTTGGTGCAAGCTATGCGGTGCAATCTACGTTGTGTAATCTTCGTGGTGCAGGCTGTGTGGTCCAAACTGTATGGTGCAAGCTATGTGGCGCAAACAATAAGCCGCAACATACGCGGTGTAAGCTATATGCTGCAAAATGTGTGATGCAAACTTGGTGGTTGAATACGTGTGGTGCACGCAATGTGGTGCAAGCAATGTCGTGTATGCCGTGTGAGGCAAAATGTACGGTGCAACCAATGTCGTGGAATCTGCGTGGCGCACTCATGGTGTACTCTACTGGGAAAGCCCAGAGGTACCGATACCGCTACTCCCCGGACCTCTCCTGGGGTGCGTTCTGGCAGGGATTTCGAGGCGCATCCAGCGGTGGCGACGAGGGCCTCCAGGGAGGCCCAAACCAAGCGGAAAGCGGGCGGAGGGTAGCGGTAGGGGTACCCTTTCCTCCCTCGATCTACGCGGTGTTCGCTGCGCGGCGTGAGCTGCGAGGCGCGGGAGGCGGACGCGCACGAAGCCGCCGGGCAAGCAGCCGAGCCTTGGAAGGCACACCCGGGGCGGCGACGGGGAGGAGCGGGGCCGCCGGGCCCGCACCAGGGGCCCCGCTCCCCCGGCAGGGGTGCGCGAGCCCCTCGGTGCAAGCACTGCCCGGCGACTGCTCGGGGAGCTTCTTCTCTGAGGGCGCCTTCCGCTCAGAAACGCGCTCCCCCCCCCCCCGATGGGGAAACCAACAGGTACCGATACCGCTGCTACTCCCGGGCCTCTCCCCGGGGTGCAGTCTGACCAAGCTTTCGAAGCGAAGCCAGCGGTGGCAACGCGGGCCTCCTCGGAGGCCCGACAGCGCGGGCCTCCTCGGAGGCCCAACAAGGGGAAAACGAGGGAAGGAAGCGGTATGGGCACCTTCCCAGACATTCGACGGTCTGCTTTTTGTAGGGCGGCATCCCCGGAAGTCCCGACCCTTTCCCTGGGACCAGTTTTTCATCCTGAATCGTTTTTTGACGGTCCCGGGGCCGACAACTGCGAAAAACCGTCCGTCCTGATTTTCTTGCGACGCGATCATGTCTGGGTTCTGCTCCCCTGACCCCGTGTCCTGCGGAGACCGCGCTCCCCGTGGGCCTCCCGGGCACTCCGCAAGGCAGGAGAACCCAGAATCGGACCGATGTCGGACCAGCGATCGAAATGAATCGGATCGGCGGAAATCGGCAGCCGAGTCGGGAAAAGCCGAATCGGCAGGAATCGGCAGGCTAGTATTCCTCCAACAAGGACATCGGAACCCACATCGGAAACCCAAGTCGAAGCGAGTCGGGAAAAGTCGAATCGGCAGGAATCGGCAGGCCAGTATGCCTCCAACATGGACATCGGAACCCACATCGGAATCCCAAGTCGAAGCGAGTCGGGAAAAGTCGAATCGGCAGGAATCGGCAGGCCAGTATGCCTCCAACATGGACATCGGAACCCACATCGGAATCCCAAGTCGAATCGAGTCGGGAAAAGTCGAATCGGCAGGAATCGGCAGGCCAGTATGCCTCCAACATGGACATCGGAACCCACATCGGCATCCCAAGTCGAAGCGAGTCGGGAAAAGTCGAATCGGCAGGAATCGGCAGGCCAGTATGCCTCCAACATGGACATCGGAACCCACATCGGAATCCCAAGTTGAATCGAGTCGGGAAACGTCGAATCGGCAGGAATCGGCAGGATAGTATGCCTCCAACATGGACATCGGAACCCACATCGGCATCCCAAGTCGAAGCGAGTCGGGAAAAGTCGAACCGGCAGGAATCGGCAGGCCAGTATGCCTCCATCAAGGCCATCGGACCCCAAATCGGAATCCCAAGTCGAAGCGAGTCGGGAAAAGTCGAATCGGCAGGAATCGGCAGGCCAGTATGCCTCCAACATGGACATCGGACCCCACATCGGCATCCCAAGTCGAAGCGAGTCGGGAAAAGTCGAATCGGCAGGAATCGGCAGGCTAATATGCCTCCAACATGGACATCGGAACCCAAATCGGAATCCCAAGTCGAATCGAGTCGGGAAACGTCGAATCGGCAGGAATCGGCAGTATAGTATGCCTCCAACAAGTACATCGTGACCCAAATCGGAATCCCAAGCCGAAGCGAATCGGAATCGGAAGCCATCGAAATCGAGTCGACTCGAATCGGAGAAATCGAAACGAGCCCTGCCGCGGGCTCTCGGGCAGCCCCCGCCGGCAGCGCGGAGGAGAACAGGGGGAGGCCAGGGCTGCTCTCCGCGGCGGTTCCCGTCCTCTTCGGGCCTCCTCCTCCTCCTCCTTCTCCTCCTCCGCCTCCTCCTCCTCCTCCTCCGCCTCCTCCTCCTCCTCCTCCTCATCTCACTCCTCCTCCTCCCTCCTCCTCCATCCTCCTCCTCCTCCTCCTCCTCCTCCCCTCCTCACTCCTTCACCCTCCTCCTCTCTCTCCTCCTCCTCCTCCTCCTCCTCCTCCTCCTCCTCCTCCTCCTCTCCCTCCCCTCACTCTCCTCCTCTCATCCTTCTCCTCCCTCACTCCTCCTCTCCCCTCTCCATCCTCCTCCTCCGCCTGCTCCTTCTCCTCCTCCGCCTCCCTCCTCCTCCTCCTCCTCCTCCTCCTCTCCTCCTCCTCCTCCCCTTCCTCCTCCTCCTCCTCTCCTGCCTCCTCCTCCTCCTCTCCTCCTCCTCCTCTCCTCCTCTCCTCCTCCTCCTCTCCTCCTCCTCCTCCCCTCCTCCCCCCCGTTCTCGTCCTCTTCGGGCCTCCTGGAAGCTCCTCGGCGCCGCGGCCGGGTGTGTCTCGACGAGCGAGGTCCTGGATTCGAGTGGGGGGTCGACTACAGAATTGACTTGCTCCACGATTGATGTCCTCGTCGAGTTTGCGAGAGAGACGTCGTATTCTTCATGGGTTCGACGACGAAGCCAGTTTCGGGGTAAATCGATTCTGTAGCCCATCCGCTGCTCGCAGGACGGCCCCCCTGCAAGGGGTCCGGGGGCCGATGTCGAGCGGAGTCCCAGGGCCGAGCGGGAGCTCCGCGCCCCTCCTCCGAGCAGCGGCGCGGGCTCGGAATGCCCCGCCTGCACGGGCGGCAATCTTCGACCCGTCGGAGCTCCACCGAACATCAGCAGTGAATTACCCATCGGTCGCAAGCGGTGCGCACAAACATGGAGTACGAAGGGGCGTTGGAAATAGAGTCGGCCTCCGCGAGCCCCCCGAAGACGCGGGAGAAGGTACTCCGATCGACACATGCAATCGGGAGGCGCCCGAAGTAGACTAGGATCTGGAACTCCAGAAGTACATACGTTGAATGACCGATGGGTTCTCTCACCATTGGGATGGCCCCTCCTTCTGCATTCGACCATGGGCCCCTTGTTGCCCATTGGCCCTGGGCCCTCCGTCTTCGACGGTCTTCGGCGGTCTTCGGACGGTCTTGCCAGGTCTTCGGCTCGAAAACTGGATGGTTGCGTTCAGCAAAGGCCAACGATCGAACATCTAACCGACCCAGAGTGGCTTCCTCGCGCTGAGGGGCGCAGAGCCTGAATCCGCAGAGGGCGTTGACGAGCGACGACTTCCCAACGCCCGCGGCTCCGGTCACAGCGATCATCACCTGCAGGTCGGAGGGGGAGGTGAGCCAAGGGGCCCGGGGAGGCACACACAAATAAACGCAAACGCAAGGATTCTCAATTTGTTTGTAGGTTGTCAGGATGTTCGTCTTCCCCTCCACTTCCCATTTTTTCCACTAGTTTCTTCGGACAGCCTTGCTGCTGCTGCCCGTAGTGCGGGCGGGCGGGCGCGAGGCCGACTGGCGGGAGGCGTTGCAGGCGCGCTTGGCGCAGCGCCCGGGGCCGCCAGACTAATTGGTAATTTGGGCAGCCCGCGCGCGAGCTGCGCGCACCCCGCTTCCCCCCGCCCCTCCTCCCTCCTTCCGCCGCTGCCTCTCTCTGCCGCTGGACCTCTTCGCTGGGTAACGAGTGTCTGTGCCCGCTTTTCCCTTCTGGGAGGTGATGGGGAGGCAGGCGACGGGGAGGCGGGGACGTCGGCGGGCGGTAGGTGGTTGGACGCAGTCGAAGGGGCCCTGGGACGCACAAATAAATAGACACACGTAACAAGATTCCCCGTATTTTCCATTGTTTTCGGGTTGTTTTGTCTCCCGACCCACTTCCCATAGTTTTCCATATTCTCCTGGGAATCGACGATTCATTGTGCCTGTGCGTTTTTTCCCCTCCTGACCTGTGTGATTTTTCCCCTCCTGACCAGTCGGGGCCAACCGCAAGGGCATGCAAGGCCTGGGCGTCAAGGGCCTCGGGCGTCCAGGCCGCAGCAGCTGTCACGCGGAACTGGCTGGCCAGGGCCGAAGAAGGGCAGCGGAGGGAGGGGGAGGAGGAGGAGGAGGAGGAGGAGGAGGAGGAGGAGGCGGAGGACGAGGATGCGCGCGCATCAGCGCGGGCGTACGGCCGCGCTGGCGCCCGAGCGCGCCCCACGCGCTCGGGCATGGGTCAGAAGACCCGCTCGCGGACGCCGAGGCCGACCGCGACGTACAGCAGCTAGCCGCCGCCGAGGGCGCGCGCGGGGATGTGGGGCAACCTCCCCCCGCGCGCGCCTCAGGGCCGCGGCCCTTCGAGGACGTCGCCGACGACGACCGAGTCGCTGTCCTCGATGCCGTGGTTGCCGAGCTGCACGATCTTGATGGCCACACGGCCAGCTATGCCTGGCGCGAAGCCTTTTGCCAGGCGGGCGATCGCCAGCTTGCCCTTGGCTCCAGGCTCCCCGCAGGCACGGGCGAATGACGAGCTCCTCGCCGCGCCCGTGGCCCCGCAGACGAGGCAGGCCAGCAGCGGCATCTCGCGCTGCAGCTGGGCCTCGATCTGCGGCTCGATCTTCACGATGACGTGCGCCAAGGTGCCCTGCGCCCGCAGCTTCCTATTGTGGTCCAGGGCGGACGTCACAATCGAGCCAGGGCACTCGCTGGCGCGCTCCAACCAGCGGCACCTGCTGCACCATCGCGCCCCAGGCGGCCCACGGAGGTCGCAGCCGAGCCTGGCAACAGCGGGCTGCAGCGCTGCTCGTGGGGCTGCCTTGTTGGGCTTCGCCGCGCGGTGGGTGGTGTCGTCCCCGCCCACGGCGGCCCCAACTGCGGAGACCCACATGGCCACACCCTCGACCAGCTCCCGTGCCGACTGCAGGCGTTGGCGGGCCTCAAGCGCGACTCTCGCGCGCTCGGCCGCAGGAGGAGGAGGAGGAGGAAGAGGAGTGAGGAGGAGGGCTGGTGAAAACCCAGGGGGACAATGCAGGGCAGCAATGGCGGGGCACATCAGCCGGGTCGGGGCCCTGGCTGCAGGCGGGCGCTGCCATGCCGAGAGCTGCACGAGGCTGGCCGCAACGGGGGTCCTCTGCCGCGTCGCCGACACGGGGGAGGCTTCATGAACATGCCCACCACGGGCTAGAGGCAAAGATCATATCGAACTGACGACTCCACGTTCCTCCTCCTCCTCCTCCTCCTCCTCCTCCTCTTCCTCCTGATCCCTCTTTCTGCGCTCATCCTGCCTTCTGGTCACCGCCCACCTCCTCTCCTCTTCTCTTTCTCTTCCCACCTCTCCTCTGTGATCTTCCATTTCCACTCCTCTCCTCTTCTGCGTGTCCCCATTATTCCTCCTCCTGCCTGGTGCGTTACCCCCTAATGGGGCCACCATGGACATGCTGGCCACTGCCACGGTGTTCAGAATCCCTGCGTGTACGCCCTATCCTCGTGTTGCTCGTCGTACAGCCAGGATTGGGTGCGCAGGATGCCAGTGAGGACATACGTATCTTTTGAGGGCAACCCATGCCCCCGTACATGGAAAAAGAGAGGGAGCAGCACGGCGTCGGAGACACGCGGGAAGATGTGCGAGGAATGCCGCTCCCCCCTGCGGTGTTCTGCCCCTCCTCTCCGAGCCCAGGTTGGGGTGAAGGGCGGCACGCCGCCGTCACTGCTCCTCCTCCTCCTCCTCCTCCTCCTCCTCCTCCTCCTCCTCCTCTCTCCCCTCCTCCCTCCGCCCCCGCGCTCCTCCCCACCGCGTCCCCGAGAGGGGGGCGGGGCGAGGGTGTCCCGCACCCTCCCCCGTCCCTCCTGCCGCTCCTGCACGCCCGCCCCTCACTCATCCTGCCTCCCCCCTCTCTCCTGCTTCCCCGCTCCAGCCCCCTCCCCCTCGTGTGCCGCCGCCTTGCCACCTCCTTCCCCTCGCCTCTCCTCCCTCTGCGCTGGTCCTTCCGTCCTCGTCCTTCCTCCCTCCTCCTTCGGCTCTCAGCTCTCCGAGTTCCTCTCTGCTCCCTCCTCTCCGCCCCCCCCGATTCTCCTCTCCCTTGCATCCTTCTCTCTCCTTTACCTTCTGGTTACGCATTGCACGCTCGGGTCACACATCCACTGAGCAAGGGTCATCTTGTGCAAAAGGTGCACGGGTGGGGCGGGTGCGGTCCTTCTCCACAAAGGATGAGGAGGAGGAGCAGGAGGAGGAAGGAGGAGGAGGAGGAGTCTTGCTGGACACCTCGCTGAACTGTATGATCATTGTTTCTCGCCTTCCTGTTGCACGCCAGAAAGATGCAAGGCTATGTATTGTCAACGCGGGCTGTCCTCGAAATGGTATGCCCAGCTGTGTTGGTCTTTCAAGCGGGGTGCTGCATGCACTGGGGCGTATGGGGAGGGGACTTGGGATGGGAGGGTATATTACAGCATCGCTTATGCAACTTTGCCTTGCTCTGGTCCTCTTGCTGCTCCTCCTCCCTTCCTTCTCAGAAATCCCGCAACTGGACCTGGACTGGGATGCATTTTGGTCAAAACCTCGAAGTATAATCCAGCCGTGGCGACGAAAAGCCTCTGGAGGTCCTCCCCCAAAATGGAAACATGCAAAAGCCTATACCCCGATTCTCGAGCCGGGTACTCCCTCGCCTGGCTGCGCGCAAGAGCGGCCCCAGGCAAGGAGTGACCAACAGGGCGCTGTTTTGAGGGCCAGCGTTAGGCGGGGACCGACTCAGGGGGGGGGGGCATCGAGCTGGAATCGCTGATGCATCGCCGTTGGATCGGCGATATGACCCCCGAAACCAGATCCTCACGTTCCCTGGCGGGGTGGGCTATCAGGCCACCATCGTCGATGAGCGGGCGATCGGTGGTCGAGGCGCCCCCCCCCCCTGAACCTGTCTCCTCCTAGCGTTGCCCCTGCTGCTTGTCGATCGATTCTCGAGCCCCCGTGGCCACACGGCCCCCGCCCCCCACCCTTCCGGGGCTGCCAGGCGCGTCCCCGGCTCCCAGGGTGCCCCCCCAGACGCTCCAGCGGGGCCCAGGCGGTCTCCAGCGCGCCATCCGTGAGGGACCCAGAGGCCCAGGGCCTCCCGAAGGGCGCGGCGAGCTGGGGGCACCCTTGGGGCCGGGGCCACCTCCTGGCAACACGTCGGCCCCTGAGGACGCTGGCCGTGCCCCGCTTGCGCTCCGCCGCGAGGAAGGCCGGCACGGGGTAGTCCCTCAGGTCCGCCTCCGCCCGCCGCATCTCCTGCCGGTGGATCTCGGAGGGCGAGTGGTGATAGCGGCAGCTCAAGATCGGTCCCCGGACCCCTCCTGGGGTTATGATGTTCCAACCCACTTTCGCCTTGATCACCAGAAAGAATTTCGAACAATAAAAAAAACACCGGAACTCGAAGGTTTTCACGTGTCGGGCCCTGGGAGACACTCGCCCGACACTGCTTCGATATTCGTTCGACGCTCTTTCGACACCTTTCTGGGTGCTCGACATTCTTTCTGGGATGCGGTCCTCAAGTAGGATAGGAACGACATAATCCTGGGGCCCAAAACACATACCCGTTTTTTCCAGAGCTGCATCCAGCCGGGGCGCCGAGGAAGCGGAGGCGGAAGCGGAAGCGGAACGCCAGGGCCGTGCGCGCTCCGATGGGGAGCCCGCGCGCGCCCGTCACGGCACGGCGCGGGGGCCGCAGTCTCGAGGACGACTGGCCTCAGAGCCCCGTCGTGGTGTCGTCTCGTGGATGATCTTGTCCAGTGGGTCTAGCGCTTCGCTCGCATGCTGCTCGGCCCACTCTGGTGCGTCTTCTAAAGGCGTACGCTCTGGGACCTCGGCCGTGGCGACGAGGGCCCCGCCCCGAAGGTCACCTACCCCGTTGTCTCAACTCGCCCCCTCGGATGATCGGGCGCGGCCGGGCCCTGGACGATCGAGGCTGAATCTCCTCCTCCTCCCTCCTCTTCCAAATCCTCCTCACCCTCCTCCTCCTCCTCCTCCTCCTCCTCCTCCTCCTCCTCGTCCTGTCCATTCTTCTTCCTCATCATCACCCTCCTCTTCCTCCTCCCCCTCGTCTTCCTCCTGCATCCTTCCTCTGGCTTATCCCCCCTCCTCTTCCTCTTCCTCCTCATCCCTTCTTCGTCTGGCGTCTGAGTCCGAGCGCAATCGTCCGGAATCACTTCTCGTGCGGCAGGCTTCTAAGAAAACCACCAAGCGTCTTCGCGCCATTCGCGAGGACACATCCACCAATGTTGGACGTGTGCTTTGAGCAGGGACCGACCGTCCTGGCACTCCTATAGGCCTACCGCGACATGTTCTTGGAACACAGGAATGCCCGAACAAAAGAATGATGTCCTTCTCAGACCATCCGCCCATGCATTCAATCAGGACAGTCCCAACCAAACATGTTCTGAGAAGAGATCGTGCCAACCACAAGAGGTTCTTACTTACGCAGGCCGAAAGATTTTCTTCTTGAGCCCCACATGTCGGAAGCGACGCGCCGATCCCCTCTGTTCTCCTCCCACCTCCTCTTGCCTCTCCCCTCATCCTTCCCGTCTTCATCCTGGGAAGACCCCCTCCCCCGCAGAAGCATAGCATTGGTCTGCAGATCCACAGCTCCGTGGATAGCATGATGCTTCACTTGCGGTGCTCTGCGGATCCCATTTCCCCCTGGGTCCCGGATGTTAATCATTATTATATATTTTCTCGGGAGAAAATGGATCCATCATTCTTTCACACACAGGAAATTGAATCCGCGCAACACAGAAACAGGATCCACGAAACTCTCCCACACCCGAAAAAGGGATCCCATTGGATCCATGGATGTCCTCAAGAGGAAAAACCTTTCGGCCTGGGGATGTAGAACAAGCCTCTGGTGAGCCTGGAGGCAATAGGGGGCGAACAAACCTACCTCGCTTTTGACCACCCTCGCTTCCAAAAGATACCGAGCGATGCCACACTACGGCCTGTACGGGTCAGGCCGCTTGACGAGGAGGCGCGTGGTATGACTTGGTCTTGCCTGGAAGCGAAAGCGAGGTAGGTCATTCACGCTCTGAGGCAGGCCGGGCGGGACGCCCCGCCCCTGCCCGAGTGCTCGAGCGCCCGTGGGTCGGCGCGGGCCTCGGCCGGCGGCGCCGCCGCTGCAGCCCGCCCGCGGCTCCGACGGCCGCCGCCGGCACCCCGGCTGCCGGGGGGCCGAGGCCGCCGCCCCTGCGCCATATACGGTCGGGGCGTTGACCTAAGGGACCCTAAATAAGGAACGAGGCCCCTCTTTTCCAGAACTTCACCTTCGACTTCCTGTCGAAGACACATAAGGAAGGCCTGAGGCATTTCCCATCGAAAACGAAAGGAGAGCCCAAGGCAAACTGTGACACACTCAAGGAGCACGGAGCCCCTCCCCAACGAAAAGGGTTCCTTCTTCAGGGCCCCTACTGTATACCAGAAGGCGGAGGAGGCGACGTGCGGGGGGGGGGGGGATTCGGATCAAAGGGGGCTCGGACCGAGAAAAAAGGCCCGCGCTGGGGCGAGAGCGCCGTCCTGAACCTCCTCCTCCTCCTCCTCCTCCTGCTGCTACTCCGCCTCCTCCTCCTCGTCCTCCTCCTCCTCCTCCTCCTCCTCCTCCTCCTCCGTCTCCTCGCCCTTCATCGCCGTCTTCAGAGACGGCGGCACCGGCCGTAAGACCTTCGCAAGGAGGATTCGGACCGAGAAAAAAGGCCCGCGCTGGGGCGAGACCGCCATTCTGAACGACGGAAGCCGAGTGCCGATCCAACGAGAAGCGAGGCCCGCGTTGCAGCGAGAGCACCGTTTTGAGACATCGAAGACAATCGAATGGCGAACAGTCACAAGCAAACCATACTTTGAATATGCGGAGATGGCCGAGTATCTTCTGAACATATTGAAGAGAGAGAGGAGAGTGGTATTCATGATGCGCAGTTGTGAAGCAGTGCTCAGATTGACTCAGTGTGGATGCTGGATGAGGGGGGAGCGGGGAGGGGAGGACCTTTGAGAGGGGAGGAGGGTGGGAGGAAAAGGAGGAAGGGGGGGGGGGAAGGGTGAGGAGGAGGAGGAGGAGAGGAGGGCGAGGAGGAGGAGGGGGAGGGGGGAGAGGAGGGAGAGGAGAGGAGGAGGAGGAGGGGAGGGGGGGAAGGGGGAGGGGGGAAGCGGGAACGGGGGGGCGGGGTGGGTCAAGAGGCGCCGCGGTCGGCTCCCCCCAAGTGGCTCCGCGCTTCCCCCGGTCCTCCACCTCCGCGCCTCGCTGAGGTTCTTCGTGGCCTGCCGGGCGGGCCGCGCGCCTGGGAGACGTGCCCCCCCTCCTTCTCCTCCTCCTCCTTCCTCCCCCCTCCCCCCTCCTCCTCCTCCTCCTCCCCCTCCTCCCCCTCCTCCCCCTCCTCCCTCCTCTCCTCCTCCTCCTCCTCCTCCTCCTTGCCTCCTCCTCCTCCTCCTCTCCTCCTCCCCCTCCTCCTCCTCTCCTACCTCCCTCCTCCTCCTCCTCCTCCTCCTCCTCCTCCTCCTCCTCCTCCTCCTCCTCCTCCTCCTCCTCCCTCCACCCCCTTGCCCGGGCCTCTCGGCCCTTGCTCCCCGAGGACCGGTTGTGGACCCCAGGCCCCGAGCCACTTCTTCGGACGGCCGCGGCGCCCGCGACCGGCTCCCCGACGGCCGCGACGACGGAACACCGGCCGCCTCGATGTCTGCGGGCCGCCGGACCCGTGTGCCGTGTCCGCCGTCGCCGCCGTCGCCGCCGTTGTCGTCGTCGTCGTCGTCGTCGTCGTCGTCGTCGTCGTCGTCGTCGTCGTCGTCGTCCGCCGCCGTCGCCAAGGCCCCCGCCCGCGGGTTGGGGGCGCGCGCGCCCGGGGCCGCGCGGCCTGCGCGAGCCTCTTCCGCGCCGTCTCGAGGATCTCGGGGGCCGCCCTGTCGATCCTGGCGGTCCGGGCCCTGCCACGCTCAGAAACCACTTCGCGGAAGCTATTGTGGTCGCCCCTATGGCTGTGGGTAGCGCGTCCAACTGCGAGCAAAGCGGACGTAACGCACCTCTCCCACATGGCGCCTCTTGCCGGAGGAGGAGGAGGAGGAGGAGGAGGAGGAGGAGGAGGAGGAGGAGGAGGAGGAGGCAAGCGTACGATTTTTTTTTTTTTAGGAGGCAAGCGTACGACGAGGAGGAGGAGGAGGAGGAGGAGGAGGAGGAGGAGAAGAAGGAGGAGGAGGCGAACGTTTCTCCCTCATGCTAAAAAGCGTCGGCCTCTGCCTTTTTCAGTTCCTCCTTGAGAGTCGCTCACCGCACGTGTCCATCAGGGCCAACACCGCAGCGACTTGCTGCTTAGCGCGCCGCGCCGGCATATACGCTGGCGGGAAGGGCCTCATCCGATGATTCCGAGCATTAAGTCGGGCGTGTCCCCCTACAGGGGGATTTTGAGCGAAAAATGAAAAATACACAGAAAATACCCTCCAAATACTCAAGAATAATCAACAAATCGTTCCCAGACAATTTTTTGCTATTTTTGAATTTCCCCCCTGTAGAGGGACACGCCCGACTTAATCCGAGCATTGGCAAGTGCTGTTTTGAAGTGTCCAATCTCTTCTTGGCCCAGCTGATCGAAGTTGGTCCCAGCCCCCTGGACGAGCTGATCGAGGGCATCTGTACCCCCAGCTCTTTCGGCTGTCGATGTTTTATTATGGTGTCCAAGGTTCGTGGGACAACTCTTGCGCCGCGGCTTCCCACGGCTGCATGTAGGTTCCATGTGATTTGCCTATACACTGTGAGCTCTATCATACCGGTCTTGGTTAGGTACACGCTTGAAGGTCGTGCCACACGCGTAACACCATGCACAATGATCCGGATTCCGACGGTGACCACGAGCGCAGAACATTGCGCTGTCGCGGGAGAAAACGGCATTCTCGCCCGACTGGGGCAAATAAGCGACGATCAAAGACGGGTCTTGCGCGATATGACATAGCGACCTTACGCGGCGGCTTACACGAACCGCCGGCGCGGCACGCTACTCTGGAGACCAGGGCGCTTAATCGCGACCTTATGCGAGCAACTTACGTGCGAATGTCAGCGCACGCGACCCCGCGTTTTTTGTTGGGCGTCGCCCAAATCGCTGCAACGTGTTCGCAACACGAAGTCAACGCAGGCGCTGCCTGAATACCCCGGGAGGTTCTTGCTACAGCTCAAAGTCCTTGAGCCTGAAAGGAGAAAGTAGAAGGCTGGAGCGGCGCGGCGTGGGGCGCCCTTCCAGAAGACGGAGGTGCCTCCTGTCCGGGGCTGGGCGGACACTGCCGGGGGCTTACAGCCGACCCGTATCATAAGGATGCGCGATAATGATGCAAGGGCCTTGGAAAGCCGTTTCGAAACTTTCCGAGCGGGGCGCGGCCAACAAAAGTGGCCAAGGATGGACCGAGGAGGCAAGGATGCAAGGGTGCCCTTGGGAAACTTGCCCATCCTTGCTATGCGGGTTGAGTGTACATTCTTACCCCACGCCACCGAGGCCAAGTCCTTGGGCAATGTCTTCAGACTAGAGCAGAAAACAACAAGCCTACGGACAGCTTGGGACGCCCGTGGGTGCTCCTCCCTCCATCCCCTCCCCCTTCTCCATCCTTCCCTTCCTCACCCCTACTGCCTCCTCCTCCTGCGGCTCCCCCCTCCTCCCTCCCCCCTCCCTTCCCCCCTCCCTCCAGCCTCTCCTCCAACTCCCTCCATCCCTCCTCCTTCCTCTTCGTTCCTCCACCTCCTCCTTCCGACCGCTTCGACTTCGCTCTCCCCCCCTTCCTCCGCATTTACACAATCTGAATACTACTTGCCTCTCTCCCCTGATGACCCCCCTCCGCGTACTGTTTTTTCTTCTTATTATATTAAAAAAATCCCGGCAGTTTGGATTTCGGTTTTTGGTTCAGAATGTTGCTCCCGACGGAGCGCTGGCCTCATTTTCTGGCTTCTGCTCGTTCCGAATCTTGCTCCCGCTGCATCGCTGGTCTCATTTCCGCGCTTCCGCTCGTTCCGAATCGTGCTCTCGCTGCAACGCTGGTCTCATTTCCGCGGTTCCGCTGGTTCCGAATCGTGCTCTCGTTGCAGCGCTGGTCTCATTTCCGCGGTTCCGCTGGTTCCGAATCGTGCTCCCGCTGCAGCGCTGGTCTCATCTCCGCGCTTCCGCTCGTTCCGAATCGTGCTCCCGCTACAGCGCTGGCCTCATTTCCGCGCTTCCGCTCGTTCCGAATCGTGCTCCCGCTGTAGCGCTGGCGTATTATTTCCAGTGCCATGTCACGACATGCAATGCACTGCTATGTGGTGTTGCGCTGTGCGGTACCATTCCTTCAGCTGGAATGCTAGGACATGTTCTACTCAGTACTTGACTACGCCGTGCCACGCCATGTTTTGCCATTCTACGCTTTGACCTTTAACGCCATGCTATGACATGTTCTGTTATGTGCCACTGCGCGATGCCATTATTTGGGTTGCAATGCTTTGTGATGCAATTCTTCACTACGCAACGCCACGCCATGCTATGACATACTATGCTCTGCCGTGCTTTTCTACGCCCTGCTACGCCGTGCTCTACGATGCATCGCGCACCCTCTCGGGATCATTGCCCTGCTCGACGTCCAACTGCGCGAATAGAGAGGATATCCAAGCCATCGTCAAGGATGGGAGGGAGGCGTAGGACGCCAGACATGACGCAAGCGCACCCAACTTGCCCCCCTCCCCCCCCCCCCCGCCCCCCCCCCACCCTTCCCCCTCTCCACCCGCAACCCAGCAGCCCCGCGGGACTCCTGAGGCCCAGCGACTCGTTGGCGTCGGCGTAGCCACGCCGAGGCCTGCTCGGAACAGCGACACAGCGGCCGACCCGAGGTCCCTGCCGCAGGGAGTCTCGAGAGGTCGAGGGCCGAGGGTGCCAGGATTTCCTCCTCCTCCTCCTCCTCCTCCTCCTCCTCCTCCTCCTCCTCCTCCTCCTCCTCCTCCTCCTCCTGCCTCCCTCCTCCTCCTCGCTCCTCCTCCTCCTCCTTCTCCCCGCCCCCTCCCCCTCCTCCTCCTCCTCCTCCTCCTCCTCCTCCTCCTCCTCCTCCTCCTCCTCCTCCTCCTCCTCCTTCCTCCTCCCTCCTCTCCCCTCCTAACCCCTCCTCCTCCTCCTCCTCCTCCTCCTCCTCCTCCCCTCCTCCTCCTCCTCCTCCTCCTCCTCCTCCTCCTCCTCCGCCTCCTCCTCCTCCTCCTCCTCCTCCTCCTCCTCCTCCTCACCCCCCCCTTCCCCTCCTCCTCCTCCTCCTCCTCCTCCTCCTCAAAATCCTCACTCCTCTTCCTCCCACTCCTCCTCCTCGCCCTCGTCCGTCGTAGTCGTCGTCCTCCTCCTTCCTCCTCCCCCTCCTCCTCCCCCTCCCCCTCCCCCCCCTATGCTCCTCCTCCTCCTCCTCCTCCTCCTCCTCCTCCTCCTTTCTTTTTTTTTTTTTCGCGGCACGCACCTCTCAGAGGTCGCTCGGCCGCGGTCCAGCGCCGTACACCAGGCGCAGGGCGGCCACGCGGCCCAGCGCCGGCGGCAGCGGCGGCGGCGGCAGGGGCGGGGCCGGGGCCGGGGCAGGCGCGGGCCCGGCGCCACCCTCCCCAGCCGGTTCGGGCGAGCTGCCGCGGGGCGTCGACGGCGCCAGGCTGGGCACCTCAGCCGGGCCCAGGCCGCTCTCCGCACCGCCGGGCGGCTGCCTGGGGCTGCGGAGTTCCGTCGGCTCCGGGCTGCCCAGCTCGGTCGGCTCTGGGCTGCGGCCGCCCTGCTCGTCCGGCGTCGCGTCCGGCGCCCCCTCCGCCTTGCCCGGCCTCGCGTTTGCGTCGCCGGCGCGGAGCCGGATCGCCCGCGGCTCGTGCCGGACGCCGACGTCGCGGCAGCTGCCGAAGAGCGCCTCGTCCTCCTCCTTCTCCTCCTCCTCCTCCTCCTCCTCCTCCTCCTCCTCCCCGTCCTCTTCTTCCGAGACGGGGAAGGATATCTCGAGGCCCCAGCATCGAGCCGATGAGTCGAAGCGGATCGACCCGAGCATCGAATCGGCAAGCGCCGGCTGAAAATCGGCAGCCTTAGGCAGGGCCAGGTCGGATCGATGCCTCGATGTTCTATCGAGGGATCGAGGACAGGAGCTCTAGTAAGGGGAGGAGGAGGAGGAGGAGGAGGAGGAGGAGGAGGAGGAGGATGAGGAAGAGGAGGAGGGGAGGAGGAGAGGAGGAGGAGTGAGGAGAAGGAGGATGAGGAGGATGGGGTGGAGGAGGAGGAGGAGGAGGGAGTGAGGAGGAGGAGGAGGAGGAGGAGGAGGAGGAGAGAGGAGGAGGAGGAGGAGGGGAGGAGAGGAAGGATGAGGAGGAGGATGAGGCGGGGGGAGCAAGGAGGAGGTAAAGAGGAGGAGGAGGATGAGGAGTAGGAGTAGGAGATGAGGAGGAGGAGGAGGATGAGGGGGGGCAGTGAATTGAAGGAGGATGATCGAGGGACGTCCGCCGACGACGCGAGCCAGGCTGGCCCGTGAGGAGAGGATGACAAAACGGTGGCGATGGAGGCGGGAGGTGAGCAGGGAGGAGGAAGGGGGAAGGGAGGAAAACAAGGCAAATAACCAGCGGGCCCAGTGTCTCCCATTGCTACGAGACTGAAAGAGCTTAGATCCAATATCCAAGTAGCTTCAGAAGCAGACTTCCTACATAAAGAGCCTTGTTGGCGGGGAGCGCTCAAGCCTGGAGGCGGCCGCTCTGGAGCGATATCCAGTGGGCGTCTCATGTTACCCTTCTCTTCCTCACTTGACGACCCTATAGGACACTAGGTAGGCATGCCTCCTTGGACCCACACCCATCGCTCTCGACGACTCGCGGGCTTGTCTCACGAGGCCAAGCTACATAAACAATGTGACAGCCGTGGGTCAAAACACGTCGGCTCGCAGCCTCGCGAGAGGCCATCGAGATGCCCGAGGCCCCAAGTCCCTGTCCCACAGATTCCGAGACGGGGGAGGGGCGCAAACCAGGACGCTGCAGCTCACCGCAGAGCGCACTGCCACGAACAGCGGGCGAAGGGGGAGCAGGAGGGCAGCGAGGAGGAGGCGGTCGAGAGCCCCGGAACACGACCGAGGGCCGAGGCCGAGGACCCCGGACGGACCCCGGCAGAGTGCACGGCTGTCGAGAGAGGGGCTGGGCTCCACTCTGCATGACATCAGGCTGTCGGGCGACCTCGCCCTCGACCCCGAGAGTCCATGGGGAAGGATGATGATGATGATGATGATGATGATGATGATGATGATGATGATGATACCCGACCCCATGGAGAAGCTCCTCGGTGACGGGCGGCTACACGCAGAGGCTGCGCAGCACGGGCGACCTCCTGCTTAAGGCCCTGATCCTCCCTTCAAAGTGCTGCACAGCATGAACAGAGTCAAATCTCTCCTGCATTCTCTGTGCGTTGAACGTGCTGAGCCCCAAATCAAAAGATACTGCCAGTGCATGCAACTGTTCACTTGTGCTCCACGTGTGGGAACGCATGAAAACACGGTCAAGGAAACTGTGCTGGGACCAGAGAGGGGGCAGAGCAGGAAGCAAGCGAGAGACAGAGGCAACAAAGATGGGACACACAAGATAGTGCTCGAGCGAATCACCTCCCACGGCACAACACCCGAAACGGCACGAAAGGGTCCCCTGATGGAACCTACGGGTGGTGCACCAGGAGTTACAAACAGATTTGACAACGCTAATTCCTATAAACACGGGCAACGCTTTATTTATAACACGCAATTGAGACACAAAGTCGTTGGCTTCACTCACAGTGGCACCACTACTCCAATACTTCATTCTAGGGAGAATTCTTCTGGCCATGGGAATATTGAACAGCAGGGGTCTCAGAGCCTTCTCGGTTTTCTTCTGGAGTTCAGCACAGGGGGCTTGTGGAACCTGAGGAATACGCCAAATACGATCATATAACGAGATCATCTGGTACAGGATGCTATTGGATCGCCATTCGGGAAGACTTGGGGTAAGAGTCCTCTCGTCACTTGCCTCTGCGTTCTCAAGAGCTAGTCGCCCTCGGTGAAAAGCTGAGGAGTAAAACGCAGCTCGATACCTGGCGGCGTCACACACTAACTGGAAGCAACGGACCTCAACCCCAAATTGCAGGTCCTTGAAATCGCGCAGCACGTCCGACGGGATCGAAAAACGTGGGGAGGCAGTGAGCATCTGGACCACATCCCGTTCTTTTTTCAGTGCCGTACTAGATGGAGGGTAGAACTGCATAATATACGATAGTACAGTGAAACCGTACGTGTTGTATGCCAGAATGCTCCCCACAAGGGACTTACCAAGAGCCCTAATAAGAAGTCCCCGAGCACGACACTTAGCGATTGGCTTCTCCCACACGACATCAAGAGCCCCAGGGCCCATCCACACCCCAAGATAAAGAACCTTCGAGCGAATCTTGAAACTGCGAATACGAACTCCATACCTCCGAAATTCTCCTGCGATGTCCGATTGCGGGAATAGAAAACACAACTCGGTCTTCGAGAGGTTCAAGACCAAACCTGCTGCTCCTGCAGCACTCACCCACAATCGAAGAACTGGTGGTAAGCACTCGTACATGTTGGCGCTCGTGAGGCCAACATCGTCAGCAAATGCTCTTAGCACTCCTGGAACTGGCAATGCCTCGATCATGCTCCGCAGGATCGGGTCGAAACACAGCGCGAAAATGACTCCGCTAAGCGGACACCCCTGCTTGACCCCTCTTTCCACAGGAAACTGATGATCACGGCAGCCATTAAAAGACACCTTCATCTGGATGTCAGTATAGAGAGCACGCACAGCACGGACAATAGCTGGGGGCAATTGCATGGCTTCCAAAATGTGAAAAATCCAGGAATGATAAACCGACGGGAAAGCAGCTTTGACATCGAAAAGACAGATACCAGTTTTTCTTTCGCCATATATTGTCCCGTGCTCCAGTAAGTCGGCCTCCAGATCAATAATATTGTCGACAATCTGCCGACCTGGTACAAATCCACGCTGGCACGCGTCGACCGTATGCACAGCCACACGAGCCAGAGGGAGCGCCACTGCACTAGCAATGATCTTATTGCACGAATTGGAGAGCGAGATAGGTCTCGTAGTAGCTGGTTCCCTGAATATTCCCCTGCTCACGTCCTCCGCCTCCTCTCCTTTGGGTAAGAAAACTGCAATGCACTCGTTAAAATCCGCAGGCAACTCGCCGTGCGAGAACAGGCGCTCGTAGACTTCGAATAAGAGTTCCTTTCCCACTTCCCCTACCTTCCAACAACTGTATGGTAATCCATCCGCGCCCGGGGCCGAATCCTTCAACCTATCAATACGCTCGAAAAATTCTTCGCGGCACAATTGCCATTCAACGTGATCTGGAGCGATCTGTACAAACTCGTCGAAGGCAGAGTACGCAGCAACACAGGCCTCCTTACTCCTGTGAACCTCCCCCCAGTGATCAGCAAGATGACGGGAACATTCTGCAGGGTCTGTCATCTCCCTCCTCTGGTCGTCATAGATGCCTACAAACGGAGCAACTCTGCGAACTCTTGCCCAGGCTTGCTGCAAACGGTTGATACGCTTGACACGGGCGTCTTTGATGGCCTGCGGCAAGCTGCTTTGAAGAATCTCCTCCTCCTCCGCTGCTAGAGTCTGAAGTGTTAGCCTCTGAAGATGTTGGTGGAAGCCCTCGAGATCATTCCAAACCCCCTCCTCCTCATTCACGAACTCCTTCAGAACAGGATAAGCTCGAACAGCTCTCCTGAGAACAGCATGCTTGTTCGTGCGCACTGCGTTCAAGACTGCATACATCCAGCTTACTTTATCGTGAATAGTTCTGGCCCCCTTTTCCTCCCTCTTCCGCCTAGCCCTCATCCCCGCTTCGTAGAGAACATGTTTATATTGTGATAGCTTATCCCCAATCGTACCTTCCAAAACAATCTCAGACAACACTTCTTCGACAGCGTCCTTAAATTCTGCCGTCTTGGCCAGCCACGCTGGAACCTGGTCATAACGAGGAGCACGACGAGCTCCCAGGCTAAGAAAAACAGGCGCGTGATCACTACACCAGTCAGATACTCCATACCCAATCACCCCCGTCATAGGTTGTAAATCTTTGAGAACCGCAGGAAAGCAATTAACATATATACGATCTAATCTCGCCATCGAAACAATGTTACCTCCCACCTCCTCCTTGTGTGTATGCAGATTTTGCTCAACTTCACCAAAGTCGGTAAAAAGGTTATCGAAGTGCTCGGCAAGCGTATGAGAGTTATTGTGGTGTGTGCCGTCCCCATACTGTCGAGACTCGCCCGACGCATAGAAGTTAAAGTCGCCTGCCAAGATCCCAAGCCCCTGAGCAGGACAGAGAAAACGATCTCGGATCTGGCGCAGGAGAGCACGCTTGGCAGGCCGAGAGAGGGAAGGAACAAGATGAAGACAACATACCTGAAGAACTCCTTCAGGTCCAGAACAAGTGAGAAGGATGCACCGCCCTGCTAAGATCACAGCACAGTCAATAGAGTGAAACTGCTCGGCAAATTCAGGCGCAAGACAAATCAAACATCCACCTGCTCGCGCTTCCTCGCAGAAGCTCCCAAAGAACAGGTATCCTGGCATGTCTCGCTTCACATTGCTAAGATCCCCTTCCGAGCCGTGCACCTCCTGGCAGCAGACAATATCGTGCCGTTCGAGAAGGTGTCGAAATCTGGCATACCTACGCTCCTGTACCCTATGTTCACCGTGAACACTCCCAAACAGAGCCTTCGTATTCCAGGTGCACACCTTGACCCGTTGCTTCGGTACGTATGCTGTGCGAGAAGGGATGTCTTCTGTGATGATGTCCTCGAAGTCCTCATCCTATGGGAAGTTGACACGAGAGATGATGCCCTGGGCACCTGCTTCGTTCATGTGGATCTGGGGGAGATCCTCCACCATGGGTGTGATGCGGTAGCCGCTGTTCTGTTCCTCCACCTTGAACAGCTCCCAGGCCTCGATGCCGTTCGAGAAGTACAACGAGCCCTTGTACGCATTGGTGCCCAAGCTGCATACTCCTTCGCGCCATAAGTGATGGGCGAAGAGGTGCTCTTTGATCATACGCCACAGCTGACTCAATACGAAGCCCCTCTTGCGGATCTCCAACGGCTTGTGAGCACCAGCACGGATCTGGTGCTGAACGTTATCCCGAGGGTCAACCCAGTCGCACTCCAACTGCCGAGACGCGATGCCGTCCTTGAACTGCTGAGCGTGCGTCTTGCTCGGGAAAACAACCATGTACGAGAATGACATGTTATGATAGACGGGCTTGACATTGTGCTTGATCGAGTCATGCAAGAGGGGCATCACTTTTGACTCATAGTGAGCCTTGAACTGCGGTGCCAGCAATTTACGCGGAAAACCTCGGAGCCAAATCTTATTGTCATCATCTCCCTGCGAACTGGAGCCACTGCCTGAGCTGGACTGATAGGCAGCCCACGGATCAGCGCGCGAGGGGGGGGAGCCCCCGCCGATACCCCC